CACGCCGAAGCCCGACCCGCGACTGGAAGCTGCCGGCGGGGAAGGTGCTGACGCGGCACTCGTACTCCCCCTCGTCGGCCTGCACGGCGTTGCGCAGGAGCACCGAGCCGTCAAGGGGGTTCCTCGGAGGCGGCGGCTGTTCCACGCGACCCTCGTAGGCAGAGCTCACGTGGAGCCCATATTTGGAGTGCAGTAGCGCCAGCTCCTGAGGGCCCTCGGCCGCGTCCACCCGAGCCCAGGCCACCTGTCCCACCTGCTCGTCGGGGTCCCCTCGGTAGAAACAGGGCAGCTTTGCATCCTGGCCCAGCACCACGGTCACAGAGTCCGAGGTCTCCAGCTCACCCGCGGGGCACCGGCCTGCAGGGGGCAGACAAGAGCAACCAGGATTAGGGGCGCTGCCAGGACCGGGCAAGTTCCTCGTGGATAAGGCCCGCAAAGACGGCTGGAACTCCCGGAGTGGTTTATGCTTGCAAAGCGCTTTCAGTTCATTACCTCATTAGATCCACACCACATTCCCAAGAGGTAGGCGTTATTATCACCATTTAACAGGTGAGGAAACTGAGACCCAGAGAGCGGAAGTGGCTTGCCTGAGGCCACGCGGAGGATTTATGGGAGACTCACACCTTCGTTGGCCTAGGATTGCATCCTGAGCAATGGCAAGGTGGGAGGCTGTAACAGGACCAGAGGGCCACCCCTGCCCTGAGGGAGCCCGGTCCTCGTCCTCCGGGAAGTGGAATGCACACAGACAGGGGAAAGCCACCACAGACTTTCACAGGAGACTAGCCTATCAACCCGGTCAGAGTAAACCCTTTCAGGAAGTGTGGTGGAAGTCACAGGGACGGTGTGGAACAGCTGGTGTCTGGGATGGGGCACGTGGGGTGGGAAGGGTCCATCCCCGGAGGCTCTTTGAAGCATTCTTTCCATGGTTTAAAGATGAGCGACCAGGGTGCCCAGAGAGAAGGAGGCACTCCATGTGGGAGGAATGGTATGAACCAAGGCTCAGAGGCAGGGATGCGCAGGGCACCAAAGACAGAAGTGCGCAGGTCACCAAAGACAGAAGGGCCCCAGGTCAGAGGCTGGGAGAGAAGAGGTCAGGGCAGACACATCGTGGCAGGTCAGAGTGGTGAGCCAGAATCCGAGGACAGGGGCCAGGGCTGGTGTTTCATGCACTGATGAGGAGCAGAGTGAGGCCAGCAGGGGGTGGAGAACCCCAGATTTCCACCGTGTAACCTTATCTGCAAACGAAGCGCCATTCCCTGGCCTTGTCGACCTGGGGTCTGTCCAGGACGACAGACACAAAAGGAGACGGATCAGGAACACGTGAGGATGGCCTAGCCAGTGCTCAGCTGTGTGCCGCAGGCCAGGTGTGGGATGGGGCAGTCTCTGGGAGCATGAGGCGTGTGGGTGGGTTAGGACATCGAGGGACCTGGAGAGCCATTCCAGGTGAGGGACCGAGATCAGCAAACACCGAGAAATGGAGAAGCTGGCTGGTTCAGGAAGCAGAAGAGAGGCCCCAACCTAAGGCAGGCATATGTACCTACTCGGCAGGACTGGAAAATATGGTGGGGGCGGGGTGGGCCACCTCACCCGGAACCTTCCCTAGCAGGCAAAGGAATTCAGATTTGGTCAAGAGGAAGTCACTGAGGGTTCCTTAGCCAAGGAGTGGCATGTGGCTGGCTGGGATGTGCATCCCAGAAAGGAAGGAGACTGAAGACAGGACGGTCACTAGGAGACAGCACGTGCAGCTCTGGCTTGGGGGTGGGGAGAGGGAGAGGAAGGGACAGTTACTGAGGCCTTTGGTCACTGGCCAACAAGAGAGAAGAGGGAGAGGAAAGACTTAAACACAACTCCTAAATTTCTAGGACAAGCGATTTATGAGGGAGGCGGGGCCTGGAGAAGTCCGTGGTTAGGAAGAATACATCTGCAATATACTGGAATCGAACATGAAAGGCCGAACTGGGGACTAGGCAGCAAGGAAGGGCCCTCTGGCATGGCAAGAGCTCCTGGCCCTGAAATGTATGCTCCAGCACCTCCCGACAGCCTGCACTCCCTGCCCTGGCCGGCGCGTCACACGCCCTGCTGCGCCTCACCTCTGCTCACACTGTACCCCTGCCTGGAATGTCCTCCTCCCTGTGTCTGGTGGCTCCTACTCATCATTGTCTGGTGGCTCCTACTCATCCTCTAAGACTGCGCTTAGGCATGGCTTCCTCCGGGAGTCCTCCAGCCCCCACCCCCACCCCAGGCAGTACTGGGTGCCTTCCTCTGCCCTCCCCTAATGCCCTGCCTCTCTCCCAGAGCCCTTTACCCCATGGGCTGTCTTTGCTATGTTCTCGTCTGCCTCCCCACCAGACTGAGCTCAAGAGTAAAAACTGGGTCCCACATCCTATATGGTAACATGATTTCTGATTTAGTGCCTGTGGTCTCCATCCCTGGCACATAATTGGTGCTCGAGTAATGTTTGTTGACTGACTGAACAAATAAGTGAATGAATAGAGAGACAAATAGAAGAAGGAAAGTGTAGAATGAGGATTGAGTAGCCCTTGGCTGGACTGGCCAGGGAGAGCACTGGCATGGCAACCTGGGGACAGAGGCAGGACGGGCTGGCTAGTCAAGTTCATGGCTGAAGGGGGTGCCTAGGGCTGGACAGAGGAAGGAAGGAGGGAGGGAGGAACTGAAGCCCCACTGGAATGGCCCCAAGAGTCCCAGTGAGCAGGGCATAAGGCAGAGGAAGAGGGTCCCATGCCCTGCTGTTAAGGGCAGAGGGAGGGAGGATGCCATTGGGTGCTAGGAGGGCCCAGGTGGGACGGGCCAGACCTGCAGGGCCAGATACCAGGGCCGTGACCTGCCTAAGCCGATGTGGTCCCACCCAGCCCAGCCTGGGAGTCCAGCTAACCGCCCGTACCCTCCCAGCTCCTCCTCCAGCACTGGAGGAAGCAGGGCTGCCAAGGAAGCGTTGGGGCTAGGAGCTCCCCAGCACGTCCTCTGCTCCAGAGGCTGGTGTCTGTGCAGGCTGCAGGGTGCCGACCCCTGGCCCAGTGGAACACCTAGCCCCTTCCAGAGATGGTTTCTGAGCAATGTCAGAGGGCGTATTTCCCCTCCCTAAACTCACACTTTCTCACCACTCAGACTTCCCCAGAACAAACCGTCTCAGGGCACTGCAGGCATTAGGTACCCGGCGCCCGCCTGAGTCCCAGCCCTCCATGTTCTTAGCTATGAGTCCAAGATCCCTTTCCTAAGGGACAAGGCCGAGCTTGGCAGAATGAGGAACCCGGGAAAACAGGAAAGTCCCTTCTGGGTCGCTCCCACAGTCACCCCTCCCCATAGTATCCTAAATTCACTATCTAGCAGAACACCTCAGCCTGGGGCAACACCTCATCCCGTCCTCCTCCCCGATCCCAGGAGGCGAGAGAAGAGAAAACCTGGGCCCTAGAGCTCCTGTCTTGTGCTCCACAGACCCAAGAGCCCAGGAGCCCAGGCCAGGGCAGGCCAGGACTGCCTCCTCCTCTCCCCACCCAGGGCCCGCCTGGCGTCAGCATGATGATGTCACCAGACCAAAGGAGACACACCGCCTGCCTGGTGAGGTCACCCCACGGGCATGTGGTGGCCAGGCCAGGCTGAGTCCACAGACCCTTCTGCTGCAAATTGTTTGCCGAGGCTGATGGACTCGGACAGGCCGCACGCTCCTCCCTGATCCTCCCCGCCCCTCCTTGCGGGAGCACTAGGACGCTGGTCAGGAACCTCAGTGACTCAGAAGCCACGCAAAGCAGCAGGCCTAGCCACAGCCGCCACCACCTTGCGCAAGGGAGAGAACAGGCCCAACTGGCCGGACGGGATCCCTGCCCTCGGCCTCCCCCACCCCTGGCCAGGCCCCCACGGGCCTCTTCGGGGCCCTGCCCTCTGTGTACCCCGCCCGCTCCCAGACAGGCCCTCCATTCCTGTCTTGGGCTGGCTGGCTATTCCCCACCCTGTGCCTGGGTCCCAACTCTTCTCTCCACGTGAGGCCTGGCCTCTGATCTCAGGACGGGAAACTGAGGCTGGCATCTGTAGGTGCCCACCCAGGGACAGCATCTTTGAGGAAGAGGTCTTTCTTTAGGAGGGGCTCTTCTCCTTCAGCACCCCTTCCTGGTACTTTAGGGGTACACGAGTTCCTAGAGGTAGGTCCATGACCAGGAGGGTAGACATCTGAGTCTTTGGTGTCTGAATGTCTGGGTGCCTTGGGCAACAGCATGGCCAATCTTAGTGCTGGGTCACATGCATGAACCCGGGCACATACATGTATCCATGTCTTATCTTCAAGGTAATAGACATACGAGGGGTCTTCAACAAGTTCATGGGAAATGCGTATTATAGGAAAAAACACGCAAAGATTTCCAATTTTTTTGCACCAAAGTAAGCCCGTACTTTGATTCCATTTTGGCACAAACTTTTTGAAGTCCCCTCGTACAGAGGGAAGAGCTGTGTGTTGGTGTGTGCGTGCACACACATGCACACAGCATTCCCCATGTGTCTCACACCACTGCGTGCATAGCGCGCGTTATCGTCCTGCAGAACTCTGCACACTTCGTAGGCATTTTGATGTCAGTTTATCTTGGCTTCCGCACGTCTGTCCATTCTCAGCTCCCCTTGGTCAGTGGGTGCGGCTCTGAGCTCTCGCCTCTGCAGCCTGTCTGGAGTGTCCCTGTCCTGTTGCCCCCTCCACCTCACCTTGAGACTTAGGGCAGACTCATCCCCGGCTGAGGGCAGAGGTACTGAGAGATGCAGTCAGTCTCTCTGGGTGATGGGAAGCTGGCATCAAGGCCACCCCAAGAGAACAGACGTTTGCACCGCCCGTGCTCCTCAGGTTCCCCGAAAGGGATTCGCACCCATCTCACCACCTGCCAGCCACTCCCCAGGGCCCCCCAGCATCTATGGCCCCCCAAGGAGGCCTCTCCCTGGGAATTTTGTCAGGGCTCAGCTGCTGCCACCACCAGAAAAACCAGCTCCAGCTCCAGGCCTGGGGTAAGAGCTGTCTGGTGTGAGTTTGTGTGAAGGGGGAGATCCTGCCTGGGGCAAGGGGGATGGGTCCAAGCTGTCTAGGGTCTCATTCTCCTTTGTTAACTATTACTTCCCCTTACTCTACAGCAACAGCCCCCACCACTGAGAGCTGGATTATGGGGCGAGTTTGGGGTAAGAAAGGACCTGGGAGGAGAGCCCTAAAGCCCCCACCTGTCATCCCGGCACAGGTGACATGAACAACCCAGCGAGCTGCTTTCCTCCACCTCCCCCCATAACCTTGGCCTTGAAGTGCCAAGGAACTTTGCAAACCAGAAGGTTCTCCCTCCACCTTCATCCACCTCCCTCATTACCCCCCATTGTCCTAAGCCCCCCAGCTTAGCAAGAGCTTCCCAACCTGGGCAAAGCGCCCGCCATAGATTAGTGTCTGGGGAGGGGGGCTGCAGCAATCACAGAGCCACATGAGAACAATGGGGGAGGACAGGCCTGGAGGCAGCCACGGCTCTGGCCCAGACACAGCTCCCAGCACAGATAAGTCCCCTAAACCCCCCGGAGCCAGAGTCTGAGCCTGGCTGAGTCACCACAGCAGCCGCACTGTGGGTGGGAGACCCAGCACTCAGCTTCTCCCAAACTCCCGCGGTCCCACTCTCCAGCCTGCCTTCCGACCACCGTGGCCGACCACCGTGGCCAGCTCTGCCCCCCTCGGATCACAGCCACAACCCCAGCTCTCAGGACACACCAGGGAATGGCTGGGCGGCCCTCGGGAGCTGTGGGAAGAGCTCCTGGGACAGGGCCCCTAAGAGCAGTCCCAGCCAGCTTCTCCATGGCCCGCCTCCAGGGGGTGTCGTGTGGATCCTGGACTCCGAGTTTACCTCCTTGTTCAGAACCTGTTCCCAGATCCTGAGGCTCCTCTGCGCTCTCTCCCCTCCTGTCCCAGCTCCCACATCACCTCCATCCCTTCCTCTGCCTCCACCTTGGTCAGTGCAAGGCCAAGTTTGGGGGGCCAGAATACCCAGCGCTCCTCGCTGGGCTTGTACCCTGTGGGGCTGAGCCCCCCTCACTGCCCAGAAGACCCCAGGACTCTGAGTGGAGGAGATGGACCAGGACTCTCACCTGCCCAGTGCCTTCGCTGTGACTGTGGTCTCCTGAGCCCATCAACACTAGGGTGGGACCAAGGTCACTGGGGCCACAGGGCTTCCCTGGGATTCTCCCAGTTCTTGCCACCCTGGGCGGGGAAACCAGCCTCCTTTTCTGGCTCCCCTGGGTTTGGGTAGCTCCTACAGGAAAGGGCCTGCCCCCCTCTGCAAACAGGAGGAGAAAAGCAAGGATGGGGCCCCTCCCTTTCTAGGAAACTAACTTCAGACAGAAAGCTGATCTAACCCTCAGGAGACAGGCCTCAGAATGCAAAGAACCCCTCATCTTCTGGACCTAAGAGCCTCCCATAGGCCCAGACAAAGAACTGGGGACAAGAATCCTATGGAGGGAGGGTATCCCACAGATTCAGGCCCCTCAGCCCCAGGGCAGGAGATGGAGGAGGGAGAGAGGAGGAGACCTCACCCGGAAACTCATCCCATTAAGGAGACAAAGAGCTGTGGTGTGCAGGCACCTCCCAAGCCTGGGCTCCTCTCCCTGTCAGGGTGGGGCAGAGCCCTGGGGCTCAAGCTCTAATGGCCCAGAGTTGGGGGGGGGGCATGCAGGAAATTTATAGTAGGGCCAAGAAGGCAGTATCCTGGGGAGAGGCCCCCTGGACCCCACTGAGAGATGGGGCCTGGACCCTTTCCCCTTCAGCCTCCATAGCCAGGCTGACCTACTGCGGACACTCCAGCCCCTCCTTCCTCAGGAGCTGGACAAGCACAGAGTCATCGTACTTCAGAACTGGACAGTCTACAGAGACCATCTGGTCCTAGTTCTTGGTTGACCGATGTCTAGTTTCTTGGCTGCCCAAGGTCGCCTAGCAAATTCATAGCAGAAATGGGGACAGAATCCAAGACTTGACTTGCCAGTCGAAGACTTTTTCAGAGACAGGAAACACTCCAGGTTCCTGGAGGCCATTATGGAGGTGCCTACACACGGAGCAACCAGAATAGAGTGGCAGTTGAGGTGGGACCATCTCATCCTTGGCTAGGACCCTGGGGTCGCAGTCTCTAGCCCTCAGACCAACCTCCAACCCTGTGCAGGTCATGGCAGCCACAGGGCAGTTTCTACCAGGTCCCAACTTCTTCCCTGACCACAGCACCTCTGGTCAGGCATTGGTTGAGGCCAGAGATAATTTCCTAGCTACAAAGAGGTTTCCTTCCCCCTTCCCTCAGCTTCTCTTAGAACAGTTTTGCATCGTGGAAAAGGAAAGCGGATGCCATGTCTTATTCTCCACTGCATCTTCAGCACCCTGGCTATACTTAGCATGCTTTGAACCGCACTGTTCTTTCACGAAGTAGGAGTGGGAGATGAAGACACTAGCCCTGGTCAGGCTTCCAGCACTGAGTAATCTTGCAGATCTCCCTTGCCTATCTCTTCCTCTTGGTGTTCCCATCTGTCAAATGAGGGAGTTGCAGTGGCGATCTCTTTGATCCCTTCCAAGTCCTGAGACAGCATGGCTCCACTCCGTAGGTGTGGATAGAGCCTACAGGAAAGTGACTGCTGGGTTCCCTGGCCAAAGCACCAAGCCCCACCCTCTTGGCCCAAGCAAGTGAGAAGGGTTGTCTGGAAGAGGGGAATGAAGCCAGGGGGTGGGGTGGGGGGATAACAGGGGTTGGCTGGGAGGCTGAGCCAATGACCCTTCATGATAAAATCAACGTGTGAGCAGGCCCCATCCCCACCAATCCACACTTCTGGGCCTTGAACTCCTTCTCAGAGCGGCTAGAGAGCAAGCAAGGGGGAATCGCTGCCAGTTCTCCTGGACAGCTGAGGTGCCCTTGCCCCTGCTCCTGGAGCTGAGAATCCAATTGTCCTATCCAGCTAGGGCCCCGTCTTTCTAAGGAGAAAGGCCTCTAGGTGACTCGTTGTCCCAGGAGCAGCCCATGAAGCCCTCTGAAGTCTCGTTGCACATGCACAGACACACACTCTCTCCCCATTCTGGAGATTATGACTGTCTATATTTCTTTCTGCTTCATATACCTCGGACAGACAGGGGGAGAGGAGTAAGACAAAACACCTAACTGAGAAAAGGGGGGGAGGACAGGCAATGAACAAAAGGGAACCACACCACACCTAGAAGGTACCCGACCCTAGACACCCCCCACCCATTTAAATGCCTCCTTTCTTACTACCCTGGCACCTAATTGTGTGTCCAGGGGAAGAGAGGGGCCAGAGTAGGAGAGATTCCCAGCCCCTGCAGTAAGTCCCATAGCAGGTGCCCCAGTCCAGGTGCTCTAGAATATCATGGAGAGAAGACGACAGGGTAGACACGCTTGTCACCAGGCTTCCTGTGTCTTGGCGACTGCTGTGACCAGCTCGGCCCTGAGTCAGTCCCAGTTCCAGGTAGCAATCCTGGAGTCTAAGGGGAAACCAAGGAGCTACCAATCACCCTGAGGTGAGCAGGGTCCTGACAAACCCAGCCTCCCTGCCCACCTGCATAGGTCACCCCATCTATTCCCTCAGACAGCTGAGGCCTAGGCGAGGCTTTGGCACAGGTAGTCAGGACCCAAATGTAGTGACCTGGCCTAGGGGCCAGGAGGGGACTTGAAGGAGAATAGCTGGCAGCTCAGCTGGTAGGAGAGGGAGATTGGTTCCCAGCCCAGAGCCCAAGGAAAGTACTGTGCGTGTGTGTGTGTGTGTGTGTGTGTGTGTGTGTGTGTGCGTGCGCGTGTCTGTGTGTGTGCGTGATGTGCCAGGCTGGGCTCAGAGGCAGGGGTTCTGATAGTTCAGGCAAGTCCTACCTGTGAACGATGCCAGGAACAGCAGCAGCAGCCAGGCCTCAGGCGCCCACATCTCGGCTCCCAGGGACAGGGACATTGGTGGGAAGGCAGACTTGCCAAGTGTTTCCGAAGTTCCACCGACTTCTCCCTGGGAGCCGGCTCTGGAGCTGGAGAAGACACGAGCCAGACCCAGCTGGCAGGAAGCTGCGGAGTCTGGGTCACTGACGCACCTGCCAGTAGCTCTTGGGTCTCCACTAGGGGACCCAGCCTGGTGCTCCCCACCCAGCCGTAGCTACCCCGAGAAGCCGTGCTCGGGAGCTCCGAGCTCCCCCAGAGCTGCTTCCCACGCCGTGGCCAACAACGGCGGCAGAAACCTGGGAACCTGCTCAGCAGGTCAGAACAGGTGCGTCTCCGGGGGCTGGGCCTGGCACGGAGGCCCGGCAGCCACCGCCCCCACGGCCTGGGCTAGCTAATGGGCGCCAGGGAGGGAAGGAGGGAGGGAGGGAAGGACCTGGGTGGGGGCAGTGGGATTCCATCCTCAGCTCTGGGCTTTACCTGCCAATGTGCAGAGGGGCTGCGAAGGGAGAGGCCAGGGGAGGGGGAGGGGAGGCCCAGGGTGCCCCAAAGAGGGAGGTGCCAGGCCAGGCCAGGATGACAGGGCTAGGCCCTTGTGGGCGGAAAGGAACCCAAGCATCCCACGCCCAGCCAGCCTTGCTGTGCTCGTCTCCTGGAGGGGCTTAACTTGGGAGCTGCAGAAGCAGCCAAGTCCAGAAATGAGAAGGATCCTGGCAGTGCTAGCCCGAGTACTTCATCCTGAGGCCCCAGAGGAGGACCTTGCCTGAGGACACACAACTTAGTTTCACGGTTTGCTCAGACACCTCTATCCCTGAGGCAGGGAGCTCCTTCAATGACCCCTGAGAAAGAGCTTTCCGCTGACCCCACCCCTATCTAGGAGATGCTAAGGAGCCTGGCTTACACTTCCTGGCTTCCCTGCCAGGGCCCTCTCTCAGCCTCTGCACCTCGTTCCCTGGCGAGAAGCCCCCAATACACATCAGTACACCCCAGCATGGTAGTTTAGCCCATTTTGCCCACAGCCCTGAGACAATATCCTGCAGACTCTGTAGGGACCCTCCTTCCCAGCACTGAGCCCTGGCAGCCCTAGTGTGCTTGTGCAGCTCAGGCACGCACCTCTGTCTTGAATGCATGAAGGGTGACCCCACATTACACACAACCGACTGGTTTACCCGGGATGGCCAGAGGAGGGGGAGTGCTGTTTTGTTTTGAATTTGCCAGAGGGAGCATGTGCTTGCTGGAGAGACAGAGAGAGGAGAGAGAGAGAGGGAGAGAAAGTGAGACAGCACTTCCCATGGAGATGGCCACACTGCGACTCCTTCTCTTTTCTCTTCCATTTCTTCCTCCTTCCAGGATTTTGGGCACCTACGCACACACGCCTGGCGTGTTTCTCAGGCCACCGAGTTGGGGACTCAACGCCATACAGTTGGCCATGTGGGATCCAGCTATCATAACCACCAGGCCACTGGTTGGCCCCAAAGGAGGCATTTTAAAAAGTACATTTATTTATTTCTTCCATGATCAATAAGAGAGACAGACAAAAAGACAGGCACTCCTAGGAGGTCCTCATGCTGCAATCCACTCCCAGCCTCCGCCAATCCTGAGTATGAACACAGGGGTGCCTTGTAGGTGTGTGGAGTCTCTGGACCGGAAACCCTTCCTTGCAAGTCAGCCTTGCAGAGTGCCACGTTACCGCTACACCCCCGTCCTGCCCCAGGAGGGACATCGTGGTGAAGGGAAGGAGCAAGACCACGGGCACACTGGAGCTAGCGGTGCAGGCGAGGAGCTGGCAGGTGCTGTGGTGGTTAAGGCGCTGGACTCCTACATGGTCAATTGCAGTTTGAGTCCCGGACCTGGCAACTTGTGTTCTCACTTTCCCTTTCTGTCTCTCTGTCTCTCTCTCTGATGAGTGTGCCCTGTAGAAAATTTTAAAATCATCATGATGATAAATACAAATAAATAATTATTTTTAAAAATAGAGTTTCTCTTTAAAAAAAAAAAGCAGGCAAATATAGACAGACACAAGAGAAGGAAAATGATGAGATAGAAACTGCTACAGGACCCTTCTTTTCAGAGAGGAGCAGGAAGGAGGAAAGAAAAAACAGAGGATAATGTTCGCCCATTCTTGTGTAACGTGTGTGACTCTGGTGCTGCCGCTGAAGCTGGTGTTCTTACTCAGGTCTGCGTCTTAGAATGCCTCGTGTTGTTAAAGATGTGAATGAAGGAACCAGCAGTTAGTGTAATGGCTATGTCGCTGGACTCCCACGTAGTCGACCGTGGTTCTAGTCTCGGAGCCGGTGGCTTAAACCCATGCCAGGCGTGTGTGCGTGCGTGCCCAAGATCCAGAGAGGAGAATGGAGGAGAAGGGATTGTGGCGTGGCCATCTCCCCTGGGGGGTGATTTCTCGCTTTCTGTCTCTATGTCTCTCTCTGTCTCTCTGGCGAGTGCATGCGACCCTATAGCAAAAACCTCTCCAAAAAAAAAAAAAAGATGTGAATGAAGTACACGTGTGCATCAACTGCTGAATTCATTTTGTGCCATTTTTGCAAATATAATTGTTTAACACAACCTCCCTCCCCACAAAAAAAAAAAAAAAAAAAACCAGTAGGGGAGGGCCATGTCCTGAGAATATTTTCCACCCCTGCCCCTCCCGCTCTCCCTGCTCCCTGTCAAAATCTTATTCATCTTTTCGAAGTGACCTCAGCTCCTCCCACCCCCAGATTAATTTTTCCGTCTTCTATTCTTCCCCAGCTTAGCTAGTCTCTTTATTACAGCTTGTGTCCTCGTAACCTGTGCACATCTTACCTCCTTCACTAAATTGTAAGCTTCAATTCAGAACATGGATTGCGACCCGCTGTGTGCCAGGGGTTCGATGTGTGAAATTGTGGACTCCGTGAAAGCCAGCCTGTTTTATCATCTCGTTCCAGTCCTCCGAGCTAGGGCAGGCCACAGAACTTAGTGGGAACTGAAGGCGTTTTTTGCTGGAAGCATGAATTTCTGAATAAATGAGAGTCGGTGTGCAAAAGCTGGTGAGAGAGGGTCCCTCGAGCAGAGCTCCTGACTGGCAGGGAATTTCTCTCCTGACCCGGGGCTGTGACCCGGACCTCAGCCTGTCTCTGTGCTACCACCCCACCTCTGGCTTTAGATCCCAGCACTCAGCAATGACATGGTCGTAGCCTCTTCTTTGTGGGCTCTTCCCTTAGGTCGGGGTAGCCTCAAAGGCAAGGCCAAATGCCAAAACTGCTCAGTTCCTCTCTGCCTCCATCTTGGCAAGCCCCCTCCCCTCTCCAGGACTCAGGTCCCCACCAGTGCCAGGGGAACCGCTCCACCCCGACGCTGCTTTGAGATCCTCTGAGGCAGGGGTGCGGTAGGGCCGGGGGAGTGGGAGGAGGAGCACCCTGCGTTATAATTATAATTATCACACCTTGGATCCTATCGCACGCTTCCAGAGGCACTCCTCTCCTTCCCACAGATTCGCTCTCCCAGGCACCGGAAATCCGAAGGGAAACTGAGGCACGGGGTGGGGGCCCAGCGAGAGCTCCGGTGGGTATCCAATACACCCCTCCTTCCAAAGTGTTATCAGGGAGGCTGTCTCCAAGCCCTTGGCTGGAACCCTGAACCAGTCATCCCAGACTCAGGCCACAAGGAGCACTGAAGGGAGACAGAACTTTCCAGAATGTTGTGGCAGGATATGGCCATCGCCGTATTTTTTTAAGTTATGTATTTATCTCTTCCATGAGCGAGAGAGGGGGCATCAGGGCCCCATCCATTCCCCAGTCTCGGCAACCCTGGGTCACGTGCAGCACGTGCTCGACATGTTCAGGAGGCCTCTGGACATGAGCCCAGAACGTCCCTGTGTGGATCAGCCTCTCAGAGCGCCGTGTGTCACCACGACACCTCCTTCAGGCTCTGTGTCCGTTTCTTCATGGGGCTGTCCCAGGCCCAGTTAACCCAGATGCAGCCCTGAAGTGGGCTCAGGGCACTGTGGATCTGAGAGGGACGCTAGGTCAGTGGTCACCCCAGGCCTTGGGCTGAGGCAGGGCTCTCTCTCCTCAACTAATAATTCTGTCTCCAAGTCCCCGAGTCCCCGAGTCCCCTCAGTCGTGTATGTCACACAGGGCCATGCCATTGGGAACTGCCCCCGTTCTTAGGCCTTCCTTCGCCTCACCTAGCAGGGAGCCTAGGAAAGGCAGACTGCAGGGCTGAGGCTGGAAGAAAATGTCGTGGGTGAGATGGTCAAGGCCAACGTGGGCTCGGTTCTTTCTTCCGCCTTGAATCCCCATTCCCCTCATGCCTCACTACCTACCCTCCTGCCACCCACATTCTGGGCCCTAAGAATGTGGCAGCTAAGTCCTGGTGGCGTCTTTAGCTTGTGCAGTCACGTGGTACCACCGCACACGTGCCCGTGCCGTGTGTCCTTCAAGAGGCTTTTTGTGAGCCCCACTTTGTGCCAAGCTCAAGGGAGGAGACACATGACACGGGGCCCCTCCTTCAAGGAGCTCTCAACAGGGAGAGACAGAGACATTAACAACAACACGCCACTGTCGCACGTCCCCTGTGCTCACCCGTGCACGTGCCCTGCGATATGTGGGGCTGTCGCTGCGTGCATCACTGCGGGTGTTCATCACCCGCGTGTGTCCGAGCATCCGCTCACACCCGCCTCTGTCCTCATGACAGGCCGCACATCTAAGCCAAACCGGTTGGAGTGGGTTGTGCTGAAATTTTTGTTTGTGTCAATGGGACTTAAGGTGAGTCAGGGAGGGGCCGGGATGGGTGGGGCGGTGGGGGGAGAAGAAGAGTGAGAGTGAGGGAAAGACAGAGTGAGCAGGGGC